TATCACTCTAGATCATATCTCTATATACTATCAAGCATAACACTTGGTCTTGTAATCTAATGTGCATCTCGATGTATACACCTAAGATAAAAAAAAAAAAAAAGATTGCGGTATTACTTCCTCCTACCCAAATATGATCTCACAAATGTTACAAAACAAAAATGATACATGCGGTGTGCCAGTAGACATGGCAGTAGGGTCGTCTGCTTTTAAGAGTTCCCACCTTATCTCAAGTAAAATTAGTTTTTATGGTCTCCTTTACCCATATTTGTATATTTTTACACAAATTATGTCAATAAATTTAAAAAAAGAAGTGTATAGTAAAATATGCAGTGATGGATCGAGAAAAAATATAACCGGGGGAAAACTCACACTAGGATGGGGTTCGGGGCCAGCGTCCCCAATTTTTTTAAATATAAAAGTGATTTGTAAAGATAATTAACAAAAAAAAAGATTTAATTTCAAACAAGTATTCAAATAAGTAAAAAATATTTTTAAAGAAGAAAATATAATGTAAAATATATCATAACATAATATAATTATGATTTTTCAAATATTTTACATTTATATCTTATTTAAGTGATTATTTTTTACTTTTAAACAAGAATTTTCTTTTGTAACGGGGGGCAAACAACAAAAAAATTATTATAAAAATTATTTATTAAAAAAATGAGGAATTTACCTAAATAATACTAAAATATAGTGACTTCCTAATGTAGTACCATATGTTTTTATTTCTCAATAATGTTGTACCACTGGTCATTGTTTAAGTAAATATCTAATGCTACTGAACATTATTCAAACTAAATATTAACCATCACTAGACATTGTTCCAGTCACTGGACATTATTCAAGTAATATTTAGAAAATAAAAAAGTTTAAGTACTACATTAAAATATGATATATGTTTTAGTACTATTTAATGCAAATTTCCTTTAAAAAAGTTAACTCTAGGCGACTGCCTCATATTCATACATGTAGGTTTGCCCATGAAAATATGTATGATGGTATTATACATTTCCTGCATCCCAAAAAATGTCACAGTTCACTTTTCAAAATTTAAGAAAACAATTTTTTTATTTATACATTTTCATTAATTATTTGATAAAATAAAAATATTCTTTTCGCCTCTTGTAAAAAAACATAAAATATGCATGATAGTTATATATTGTCTCCGCCTAAAAAGAATGCCACAATTCACTATTAAAAAATTACAGCAACTTTTGTTTATTTGTACATTTTCATTGATTATTTGATAAAATAAAATATTCTTGTCGCCTCTGGTTTTGAAGAACTTTTGACGTAGTTTTTAAATAAATAAATTTTATTTTTTATTTTTATACCGAGCTTTAAGTAAAATTAATTTAAAAATTAAAATTTCATTTTAGTTGGCGTAATGTGACAAATATTTTGAGACAAAGGGAGTATATAATATCAACAATAAAGTTGCGATGCTATGTGTGGAGTAGATGTTTTTTACTATTACTAATAATAATAATAATAATAATAATAATAATAATAATAATAATAATAATAATAATAATAATAATAATAATAATAATGTTATTATTGTTGTTTTTATTTCTATTATTATTATTGTAATTACTGTTAATATCATTATTATTATAGTTATTATTATTATTATTAATATTATTATTACTATTATTATTATTATTATTTCTAATATTATTATTGGTTTTATTATCAATATTTCTATTATTATTATTATTATTATTATTTCTATTATTATTATTACTACTATTAGTATTATTATTATTATTACTATTATTATTATTATTACTATTATTACTAATATTACTATTATGATTCTTGGTTGTTGTAATAAAAAGGTATCTCATCTTCAATTTGTAACAAAAAGTATCTCATCTTTAAAAATTGTAATAAAAAGGTACCTCTTACCGGAATTTCAAAAGTCCGATCGGTGAACGTACGTGTGGTGATCTCGATGAAGATGTTTACATGCGTCTACCACCTGGTTTCTCGACTTCCACTTCGGTACGGTTAGGTATTCGCTCAGAAAATCTTTGTACGACCTAAAATAGGCACTCCTTTGTTGGTTTGCTAAATTATGCATTCAGAGCTTTAAAACAATATGGGTTTGTGCATGGAAGGGGTCATTCATGTTCTTGTGTTTGTGGATGATTTAATTATTGCATGAAATGATTTAGATTCGATACAAAAACTTAAGGGCTATCTATCCTAATATTTTCACATGAAGGATCTTGGTGTCTTGAAGTACTTCGTGGGTATTGAGGTTGCCCTAGTTTCATAGGGATTTTTCTAAGTCAAATGAAATATGCTTTGGATATTTTTTCAGAATGAGGTTGCTTGGTGTTGGGATTCTTCCAAGTCACACACTGAATGTGTAGGGGTAAATGAACCAAAATATATAGGTTCACCCAACCCCATTAGTATAAGGCCTTTTGGGAGGTGCCCAAAAACAAATCCGTGAGAGCTTGGCCCAGAGCGGACAATATCATACTAATGCGGGGTTGGGGTGAGGGCACGCGCAATCATCCGTTTATGTTTTCGAATATCTTCTAAGAACTTCGTTTTAAATTTTAGAATCCACATCACATTTTCTTGATTTTATGAGGCATATCATGCGTCATACCTTCAAAACTTAGCAATGGGTCCTTAGTGAAGTGTGTAATACTTTAACAATAAATATGTTCTTGAGCAATGACTCACTTGTGAATCTTTTCATAAAAGGACAGATGAAACCTCATTGAGGTCAAGTAAAAGCTCCAATTTGGCTGTGATTGGGTAAGAGCCTTAATGTAACAACGAGACACTAATAACTCATGCGTCTCGGATGTCTGTCTGACCAAACAAGGACGAGGTTTCGTGATATGAAATTAGAGATTTAACATTTCATCAATAGCTTTTAGAAGACAATTAAGATAATAATATATGGTCAAATGGAGCTGGGTAGGGTAATGATTTCATATTCAAAATTAGAGATTTCAAAGTTAATAGACAATTAGAGCAGAATTCAAAGTTAAATAATCAAACACCATGAGATAATACATCATCCGCAACTTTCTCCTGCAGGGAGATCATTATTCACGCAAAGTCAAGTCCTCTTTGATCTATCTTTTTCTTTAGCTAGAATATATAATCATTAATTGCATATTTAGAAAAAATTGAAAACAGAACATTTATAGTATTAAGTTACTACAGAGTATTTTCTAATGAACGTACAATATTTCCTCCCTTCGTGCCATAATATAGCTCATGGCTCATATTGTTTTTTTTGTCTGTCACAAAAAAAAATTATTTTCTATATCTAAAACCAAATTTTGCTCTCTTAAAAACTTCCTCTGCTTTAGATCACTTTTAATGGCCTTTTTTAAATTGAAGGTACCCCATCTCTGCACCTTGTAACAAAAAGGTACTCCATCTTCAACTTGTAACGAAAATGTATCTCATCTTTGAAAAATGTAACAAAAAGATAACCCTTGTCGAAATTTCAAAACTCCAGCCGACGAGCGTATACGTGACGTTCTACTTAGCTCCATTCTATATGACTTCCAAATTAATTTGTAACTTCTCATATACGTTATTAACTTTGTACGTGATGTTATATTTTTTTAAATTATATTGTTCTTTATACAACAATATCATATTTTAATATTTACAAAATATTTTAAACCAAACTAGCAATTACTTTTTGAATACTTCTCTTTATTGTAATTTAAAAGGCAACATTTCTTATTTATTTAAATTTTAAAATATCTACAACCTTTTGGAGTTAGAATTTTAATTAGATAAATAAACACGATGTTGCATAAATGTCTTTTCTAAAATATACTTAGATAACTTATAAAAATTCATTGCACGTATCAATAATATTCGATAATAATGATGGTCATAGTAGTAGTATTAATAGTAATAATACATACTCCCTCCGTCCCAAAAAGATTTACACCTTTCAAAAAAATTGTGTCCCACAATCTCCTATCCATTTCTATTAAAAAACCACTTTTACCCCTTACTTTTTCAAACCCTACCTATCACATCATACCTTTTCCTTATAATCTACACATCACATCCTACTTTTACGCATCAAATCAAAGTTATTTTTGGAAAGTTAACACAAAATTATCCCTCTCTTAATTTCCACTTTAGTCAAAATGTGTAAAACTTTTTGGAAAGGAGGAAGTATTTTTTAGAATTTAAAGTTTAGAAAATTTCTAATAAATCTTTAAAAATATATTATAGACAATGATTTAAATGTTATTTCTACTTATGTTTAAAATATGAAGTATCTTATAAATCGTAATTTTTTTTCAAAATGCTAAAATTAAAAGTAAATCTTATAGAAAGCACGATTTAAAAATAAAATTAAAATATTCTCCATAAAATATCTTCCGTATTTTCATTACAAAAAAAGAAATTTGACTTATATGTTAAATTCAAAGTTAATCAAGTATTAGATCAATTACGAGTCAATTTGGAAGCCATATGGAATGTGACATGTACACCAGAAAGCTAAGTAAAATGCCACATGTATGCTCGCTAGCCAAACTCTTGAAATTCTAGTAAGAGGTACTTTTTTTTACACTTTTAATAGATGAAATATCTTCTGGTTACAAGTTGAAGAAGAAGTACTTATTTTTTTGCAAGATGCAAAGATGAGGTACCTCGAAAAAAATCCACTTTTGATCATATAAGGAGTAGTAATTTTACTTTTATTTTTATGTGCCAATTGAAAGATAATTAAAACCTTTTGATGGAGTATTGTGATACTCCTTATTTGGGAGTAAAATTTTGGAGGAGTAAATGGTTGACATAAGGGGCCCACAGAAAACGGCCCATAAGAAATATAAATAAATAGGCAGGCTTTGTTTGTTTATTTATTTCTACAGTCTTCCGTCCCCCCCTTATCCTTTCCCACCTTTTCACAGATCACACTCTCCATCTTCACGGAGCTTTCGAGTTCGTTCACACTTTTCCCTTTCCCAATCCTCCTCCAGATTCTCAATTCTTCTTCGACGCCATGGTCGACGTCGACCGGAGGATGACCGGTCTGAACCCGGCCCACCTTGCCGGCCTCCGCCGCCTCTCCGCCAGAGCCGCCGCCGCCGCCCCTTCTTCCAGCCCTCTTCCTCCCCGCAATAGTCTCTTCTCCTTCACCCCGCTGGCCCATAAAGTCATCTTCCGCCTCCGGAGTTGCGGCGTGAAGGTGGAACCCGGCTTGTCCGAGGCCGAATTTGCCCGGGCGGAGGCTGAATTCGGCTTCACCTTCCCGCCGGACCTGAAAGCTGTCCTCGCCGCCGGCCTTCCTCTCTCCCCCGGCTTCCCTGACTGGCGCTCATCCGGCTCGGCTCGGCTCCAGCTCCGCGCGTCGGTTGATTTCCCCGTCGCCGCCGTGTCGTTCCACATCGCCAGGAACGCTTTCTGGTCCAAGTCGTGGGGCCCACGCCCATCTGACCCGGAAAAGGCGCTCAAAATCGCGAGAAATGCCCTGAAGAGAGCCCCGCTTCTGATCCCCATTTTCAGCCACTGCTACATCCCCTGCCATCCTTCCCTCGCCGGAAACCCCATTTTCTACGTCGACGAGGACTCCCTCTCCTGTTGCGGTTTCGATCTGTCGGACTTCTTCGATCGCGAGTCGGCCCTGTTCTGCATTCCGGACCCTAGATCAACCGGTTCCTGGTCTAATTCCTCCAGAAGGAGCTTCGCCGGCGGACGGCCGCCGCGATGGGTGGAGTTCTGGAGCGACGCCGTCGTGGCCAAGCAGAGGCGGAAGTCCAATTCCTCCGCGTCTTCTTCCTCCTCCCCTGAACGGTACAATCAATCGGGAAGACCCGAAACCCCCAAATGGGTCGAGGCTTACATCGAGAAAATCGGGTCGGTTCTGAGAGGAGGCGGGTGGAAAGAATCCGACGTCTCGGAGATCGTACACGTGTCCGCATCCGGATTTTTCGACGGCGAGATGGTCTTGCTGGACCATCAAGCGCTCCGGGACGCGCTTCTGGTGAAAGCGGATCGGTTCTCGGGTTCGCTCCGGAAAGCCGGGTGGAGCCCCGAAGAAGTGTCGGACGCATTCGGGTTCGATATCCGGGTCGGTAGAGGGAATCGGAGACCCGCTCCACATTTGACCCCGGAGTTGGTTGAGAAAATGGAGAAACTGGCTGAATCGGTTTCCAGGTGGTCGTCGTAAATGTCGGGAAGCTTTCTCCGGGCTGATTTTTAACCGACTTCCGGAAGACGCGGGAGATTCTTGCCGTGCTCGCTGCCGGTTCCCGAAACATCCGGTGGGCTTTTTTGTCTTTTTGGATAAAATTAAGTTTTTAGATCCCATAAAAAAGGGAAATGGAAATATAGGAAAAGGAGTTTCTTACTGTGGAAAAGTACACAAATTAGCCGTGCGTCGGTAATAATTAGCGGTGCCTTTATTCTTTTTGTTTTTTTATTACTTGTTACAAGAGTAATGATTTTTTATTTTTATTAAATAGCATTAACATACTCTCTTTGCTCTATTTTATTTTCTATTTGAAAGAAAGTGATAAAATTTCATGGTAATTTTATTTACAAATTTGAATAAAAATGAAAAAATAAAAATTACATTGTTATAAATTAAATCTAAAATTTGATAGAACAATATGGGACATAAATACAGTATCAGGAAAATTAATTTAAAACATAGAGAGTACATTAATTTGGACCACATTTTGTAGATAGTATAGAAGCACACGTTGTTTCATATTTGTGATGCTTGTAGAGTGTACCATATCAAATTTGAAAAGAAAAGGTGGCTCAAGGAGAAATACTTAAATTTGCACTAAATAGGACTAAAACATAATGACTTTTCGAATCTAGAACTTAAACTTTTTTATTCTCTAAATAGGACTTAATAATGTCTTCGTGGAAGGAATAATGCCCAGCAATGATAGACATTACTTGAATAATGACTAAAGAATAATGACCAAAGGTCCTACATTCAGAAATAATAACATATGGTCCTATTTTGGGAAAGTCATTATGTTTTAGTCCTATTTAGGTAAATTACTCATACTTTAAAATAGAAGTAAAATATACTCGGGTACTCTTTATTATCAAATTAAGAGTGACATTGATATATTTTTTCGAAATAAAAGTTTGTAATTTGACAATATGATACTATTATATATTGATATTCTCTAGTATTTTTTGGAATTATATCTTGAGATTACTGAGATTGTACTTATTTAGAAATTTAAAATATAAGCTCTTATTTTGATATTTTTCATATATTTTACTTCTAGTATGACCCTCTAAGAATTTATGAAATTTTTAGCGAAGACATTGCCTCCCTAAGACTCTGTTCATTTATGTTATAAAAATAGATTTGGTTGTTGAAAGAAACTGGAAAAAGTTCGAAAAGACTGCAAGGAAATAAATATATAGAAAAACTATTTTTGAAAAAAAAAGAATTCATCTTTATCTGCGTTTGAGGTGGTATAATATTATGCTTTTTTTAGTTATTGTTGAAAGAAATTTGAAGGAGTTGGAATAAACTAGAAGTTAGAAAAACTAAAAAGAGTTAGAAGAAAATAGAAACCATAAGCATCATTAGTTTGAAAAATGTATGAACAAATACTACAATTGTAATAGAGTCAATATAATAGCATTAAAAAAAATTTATAGTATACTTTACACTTTATTTACACAATACTTCTAGGGGTGGGCATGATTCCTGATAGTCCGTAATACTACAAGAACTTGTCACGGATCACACTTCTTAAAATGGTACAATATCTGTGTGTGATGAATTTGAAAGTATTCATTACAATTTTTTAAAAATACAACAGTACAATATCATGTCATGCTAAAAGTGTACTGAAAAGGATACATCATAATTCAAATATTGAAATGAAAGTCTAACTTTATATAAAAACAACATTGTTAAAAAAATCCTACAAATTTAAAAAATCACAAATAGAGAAAATAAAAATTACCGAGTCCGTATTTAAAAAAATAACAATAACTCTTTCGATTAATGGGATATAAGACTATTAATGAGTAGCAAAAGCATGGGCAGTAGCAAATAGCAATAGCCGTAGAAGTAAAGCTAATAATAAGGAAAATACAATATGAATTACTTCCTCCGTCCCCCAGTTTTTGTCCACTTTTGACTTTTGGAACTGTTCATCTAGGCACTTTGATTCACCAAATTCTCTCAATGTGTAAGCCTAAATATAGTCATGTGTGATCTTGTTTGATTTGTCTTAACATATAAATTATTAATATATAATTTTTATAATTTTTTAATATACAAATTACAAGATAAAATGGATTAAAAAAGTGCATTGGATGGTGTGTAAAAATGAAAGTGGACAAATACTCTGGGACGGAGGGAGTACTACGTAATTTGTATATGATAAGATGAAGTACACAAAAATACTAAGGATGCTCTGTAGTTATTTTCAAATAACTCAGTCCGTGACAATCGGTTTAAATTTTTGTATTCCAACCTTGTCATGTTTGAAATCAATTCAAGATGAAAAAACTGTTGAGTGTTACTTCAAAGTCCCACATCGGTAGGATAGGAAAATTGAGAAGGTATTGGAGCCTATAAATAGAGAGAGTGTATAGGCTTCCAACACACAACACAATCCTTCAATCTATATAATTGTGTATTAGATTTTAGGTTGTGAGTGTCAAATATTGGAGAGGGTTTGTAATTTTTCCGTGCAAAAATTACTAGTGAGATTTTATCCCAGAGGGGGTCGTGGAGTAGGTCTTGAGGTGCCTAACCACGTTAAATATTTTGTGTGCTCTTTTTCTTTCCTTTCCATTTGTTTGCAGTAGGGGGCCTAACAAGTGGTATCAGAGCAAAGGTGCAGAGCCCGGGTGATATGGTAATTATAATTCTTAGTATGCTCTGTGGTTGCAGCTTTGACTGATATTCCACATCAGAAAAGAATTATTAATTACAGAGTTGCAGTCTAGGGAGGAAGGAGATAGAGGAAGGAGCAAGAGGAGGGAGTGCCACTTCAGCGGAGGAGGTGGTGGCCCAGTTAGCAGAGGTGGGTCCGTGAGTGCCACGCCAGCAATTTGTGGGTCCGAGTGCCATGTCATCATCTAGTCAGCGCCACATCAGCATGTCCAGTCATTGTGTGGGTCCCGCTGGTGATTTTTGAAGAGAAGTTGGTTCTAACTAATTTTGACGTCTTGATTCCATTTTTGAGGCCAGTTTCCTCAAAAATTGGATTGTTTGGTATTGGTTGATTGCTGCTTGAGTGGAACTATGGCTACCTTGAAGTTTGAAGTTCCGTTATTTGATGGAAGAACGGACTTCATGTTGTGGCAATGCACTATTCAAGACTATTTGGTCCAGCAAGGTCTTGAATTAGCATTGCAAGATGAGAAGCCAAGTGATATGAAAGAATCAGAGTGGAGTACAATCCAGAAGAAGGCTGTCAGCACAATTCGGTTGGCACTGTCCCCACAGATTAAAGTGACAGTGCTGAAAGAGACATCACCAAAGAAGCTGTGGGAAACGTTGGAGAGCAAGTTTGCGTCGAAGACACTTACTAACCGGTTGATGATGAGGATGGACTTGTACTCACTAAAGATGGAAGAGGAAGGTAGCGTAACTGATCACATCAACAAGTTTAATGAGCTAGTATCAAGGCTGTTAAATGCAGGGGAGACTATCAAGGATGAAGAGCAAGGGCTGCTTCTACTGGCTTCACTATCAAAATCCTTTAAGCCGTTTGTGCAGTCAATGATTGTAGAAAGGACTACACTGCGACTAGATGAGGTGACGACTGCCTTGAAGGAGAGTCAAAGGATGATGGGAGGTGAAGAGTCTTCCGGGGACAGTCATTTACTAGCTGCTGTGAGTGTTGAGAAGGGGAGGAAGAAGAAGAGTGACCAACTTGGGAGAAGATCTCAGCTGAGAGACATGAGCACTGTTAGGTGCTATTAATGTGAAAAGTTGGGTCACACGAAGAACGGTTGTCCAGAACTCAAGGAGGACTTGCAGATCCTAAAGGAGAAGAAGGGCAAATCAAATGAAGCTTCTTCCGCAAATGTGATCACTTATGAAGATGATCTCTTCTGAAGATAAAAGTACTACTCGACAGAAGATTCTGCAGGATGGGAGTATCGCTGCAGAAATCGCAAATGATGTAGGACTTTGAATTAAGGGGAGATTTCTTGAGTGTTACTTCAAAGTCCCACATCGGTAGGATAGGAAAATTGAGAAGGTATTGGAGCCTATAAATAGAGAGAGTGTATAGGCTTCCAACACACAACACAATCCTTCAATCTATATAATTGTGTATTAGATTTTAGGTTGTGAGTGTCAAATATTGGAGAGGGTTTGTAATTTTTCCGTGCAAAAATTACTAGTGAGATTTTATCCCAGAGGGGTCGCGGAGTAGGTCTTGAGGTGCCGAACCACGTTAAATATTTTGTGTGCTCTTTTTCTTTCCTTTCCATTTGTTTGCAGTAGGGGGCCTAACAACACATCTATTTTAAAAATACGATAAGCGATTTGGTATCATTAAGGTTCGGTCATGATATCATGTTAGTTCTATTTTTTTGTCAACCCCTAGATATTACTCTATTTTTATACATTAAGGAAAATGACTAAAGTAGGAATAAAATATTGAAAATATATCAAAATAGCAGTCCCATGTTTTTATTTCTGAAATAGAAATTAAATACATTTACATTACCAATTATGACCATTTACATTACCAAAAAGTATAGAAAATTGCTCGTCTCTATAATGTCGATGTCTCGACCAAAATATCCTGGTCCCGTCTCTATAATGTCCCGTTTTCTTAGGAATGACAAAATTTTGTTCCGAGCCTGTTCCAAACCATTTTAAAATGGGCAAGACCGTGACACATAAATATTTTCTCATTCTGTCCCGTTGTCCCGTATATATTATTTATCTATATAATGATATAACACAAAAAAAAAGTATCACAATTTTTAATTTCCCAAAATAGATATAAAACATATTCAGATTTAAATCTCTAAAAAAAAGACTAGAACCGAAACATCTAGAAATCCATATCGTTCTAACCCGACTCATCCCAACTTGTGGCTCATAGCTTTTATGCAGTTTATAGTTTTTCTTTTGACGTATGTTACGTTGTAACATTTTTTCATATTTCCTTATTGTTTTACTTTTTTAAAACACTCTAAATAAGTATAACATTTTATACATAAGTGGGCTACCTCCCCTTTATGTATTTTACATTTGCATATCTACTCTTAGATAATGATAAAGTAGGACAACCCAAAACCGTTTCATTTGATCCCAATTCCTAATATTAAGAGATAAAGAAGGATAAGTGTGTGGCCTAAACCATTTTAAA